CCCACCCACTGACCACACCCACCCACTGACCACACCCACCCATTGACCACACCCACCCATTGACCACACCCACCCACTGACCACACCCACCCACTGACCACACCCACCCACTGACCACACCCACCCACTGACCACACCCACCCACTGACCACACCCACCCATTGACCACACCCACCCATTGACCACACCCACCCACTGACCACACCCACCCATTGACCACACCCACTGACCACACTCACCCACTGACCACACCCACCCACTGACCACACCCACTGACCACACCCACCCACTGACCACACCACCACTGACCACACCCACCCACTGACCACACCCACCCACTGACCACACCCACCCACTGACCACACCCACCCATTGACCACACCCACCCACTGACCACACCCACCCACTGACCACACCCACCCACTGACCACACCCACTCACTGACCACACCCACCCACTGACCACACCCACCCACTGACCACACCCACCCACTGACCACACCCACCCATTGACCACACCCACCCACTGACCACACCCACCCACTGACCACACCCACCCATTGACCACACCCACCCACTGACCACCCACCCACTGACCACACCCACCCATTGACCACACCCACCCACTGACCACACCCACCCACTGACCACACCCACCCACTGACCACACCCACCCACTGACCACACCCACCCACTGACCACACCCACCCACTGACCACACCCACCCACTGACCACACCCACCCACTGACCACACCCACCCACTGACCACACCCACCCATTGACCACACTCCACCCACTGACCACACCCACCCACTGACCACACCCACCCACTGACCACACCCACCCATTGACCACACCCACCCACTGACCACACCCACCCATTGACCACACCCACCCCACTGACCACACCCACCCACTGACCACACCCACCCATTGACCACACCCACCCACTGACCACACCCACCCACTGACCACACCCACCCACTGACCACACCCACCCACTGACCACACCCACCCATTGACCACACCCACCCACTGACCACACCCACCCACTGACCACACCCACCCACTGACCACACCCACCCACTGACCACACCCACCCACTGACCACACCCACCCACTGACCACACCCACCCACTGACCACACCCACCCACTGACCACACCCCCACTGGCCCCACCCTGACCTGTGAGCATGGCCACGCCCCTGTGCACGTCGTGTCCGTAGGGGCTCCGCACGAGCCCCACCCACTGACCACACCCATCCATTGACCACACCCACCCATTGACCACACCCACCCACTGACCACCGCCCACCTGTGACCACCCACGCCCTGTGACCACTCACTGTCCGTGGAGCTCACATGACCCCACCCACTGACCACACCCACCCACTGACCACACCCACCCACTGACCACACCCACCCACTGACCACACCCATCCATTGACCACACCCACCCACTGACCACACCCATCCATTGACCACACCCATCCATTGACCACACCCACCCACTGACCCCACCCTGACCTGTGAGCATGGCCACGCCCCTGTGCACGTCGTGCCCGTAGGGGCTCCGCACGAGCCCCCAGCCGTACTCGAACCGGCACTGCCACTGACCAGAACCCCCTGACGCTGCTCGGCCACTGACGACACTCCAGGGCCTGCACACCCAGTCTGCGGGTCACTGAGGCACTGGGAGCACTGGGAGGTGACTGGAACAGCGACTGAGCACGGAGTCACTGGAATGGTCCTGGGAGCACTGGGAGGCACTGGGACGGATGCTGGGAGCACTGGGGTGACTGGAATAGGACTGGGAGCACTGGGGTCACTGGAATAGGTACTGGGAGCACTGGGAGGGCACTGGGAGGATGCTGGGAGCACTGGGAGGGTACTGGAATAGGGACTGGGAGCACTGGGGGTGGGGACATGGAGGGCACACAGAACCCCCCTGGCGCTGCTCGGCCGCGTAGCGACGCTCCAGGGCCTGCACACACCAGCTGGGGGTCACTGGGGGCACTGGGAGTCACTGGGAGGTGACTGGAATAGGGACTGGGAGCACTGGGAGGGTACTGGAATAGGTACTGGGAGCACTGGGAGGGCACTGGGAGGATGCTGGGAGCACTGGGGGGTGACTGGAATAGGGACTGGGAGCACTGGGGGTCACTGGAATAGGTACTGGGAGCACTGGGAGGGCACTGGGAGGATACTGGGAGCACTGGGAGGGCACTGGAATAGGGACTGGGAGCACTGGGGGTGGGGACATGGAGGGCACACAGAACCCCCCTGGTGCTGCTCGGCCGCGTAGCGACGCTCCAGGGCCTGCACACACCAGTTTGGGGCTCACTGGGGGCACTGGGAGTACTGGGGGCACTGGAGGTCACTGGGAGGGTACTGGGAGGACACTGGGGTAGCACTGGGAGGGTACTGGGAGCACTGGGGGGCACTGGGAGGCACTGGGGGGGTACTGGAAGAGGGACTGGGAGCACTGGGGGGAGACTGGGGGGATACTGGGAGCATTGGGGGGGCACCGAGAGGGTACTGGGAGGGTACTGGGAGCACTGGGAGCACGGGGAGCACTGGGGGGGTGACTGGAATAGGGACTGGGAGCACTGGGAGGGTACTGGGAGCACTGGGAGGGTACTGGAATAGGGACTGGGAGCACTGGGAGGTGACTGGGAGCACTGGGAGCACTGGGAGGATACTGGGAGCACTGGGAGGGTACTGGAATAGGGACTGGGAGCACTGGGGGGGGACATGGAGGGCACACCGAACCCCCCTGGCGCTGCTCGGCCGCGTAGCGACGCTCCAGGGCCTGCACACACCAGTTGGGCTCACTGGGGGCACTGGGAGCACTGGGGGTAGGGACACAGAACCCCCCTGGCGCTGCTCGGCGTGGCGCGCTCAGGGCCTGGACACACCAGTCTGGGGCTCACTGGGAGCACTGGGAGCACTGGGGGGGTACTGGAACAGGGACTGGGAGCACTGGGAGGGGACATGGAGGGCACACAGAACCCCCCTGGCGCTGCTCGGCCGCGTAGCGACGCTCCAGCGCCTGGACACACCAGTCTGGGGGTCACTGGGAGGGTACTGGGAGCACTGGGGGATCACTGGGTGGTCACTGGAACAGGGACTGGGAGCACTGGGGGGTCACTGGGGGCACTGGGGGGGCACTGGGAGCACTGGGGGCACTGGAGGTCACTGGGAGGGTACTGAGAGCACTGGGGGGATCACTGGGTGGTCACTGGAACAGGGACTGGGAGCACTGGGGGGGCACTGGGAGGATACTGGGAGCACTGGGGGGACACTGGGACAGGGACTGGGAGCACTGGGGGCACTGGAGGTCACTGTGAGGGTATTGGGAGCACTGGGGGGCACTGGGGGGATACTGGGAGCACTGGGGGGTGACAGGAACAGGGACAGGGAGCACTGGGGGCATTGGGAGGACATTGGGAGCACTGGGAGGTGATGGGAACAGGGACTGGGGGCACTGGGGGGATACTGGGAGCACTGGGAGGTGACGGGAACAGGGACTGGGAGCACTGGGGGCACTGGGGGGATACTGGGAGCACTGGGAGGTGACTGGAATAGGGACTGGGAGCACTGGGGGGGCACTGGGAGGGTACTGGGAGCACTGGGGGGTGACTGGAACAGGGACTGGGAGCACTGGGGGGGCACTGGGGGGATACTAGGAGCACTGGGGGGACACTGGAACAGGGACTGGGAGCACTGGGAGCACTGGGGGGGATACTGGGATGGTACTAGGAGCACTGGAGGGGCACTGGAGGTCACTGGGAGGGTACTGGGAGCACTGGGGGGATATTGGGAACACTGGGGGTTGACAGGAACAGGGACTGGGAGCACTGGGGGATAATTGGGAGGACATTGGGAGCACTGGGAGGGTACTGGGAGCACTGGGAGGTGGACTGGAGGTACTGGAGGATACTGGGAGCACTGGGGGGCACTGGGAGGGATACTGGGAGCACTGGGGGTGACAGGAACAGGAACTGGGAGCACTGGGGGCACTGGGAGGGTACTGGGAGGATACTGGGAGCACTGGGGGAGCACTGGGGAGCACTGGGAGGGTACTGGGAGGGCACTGGGAGGGTACTGGGAGCACTGGGGGGTTACTGGAGGGGCACTGGGGGGGCACGGGGGGCGTGGCCATTTCCAATTGGGGCGTGGCCTCCCCAGAACTGGGCGTGGCCACACCTGGATACCGGAAATGACGTCACCGACGCGAGGGCGTGGCCCGGAACGCGACCACGCCCATTCCCTGAGGGCCCAAAGAGGGGGCGTGTCCTGGGTGGGTTGGGGGTCGCGGCTGTTTTTTTGGGGGGTGCTGGGGATGGGCGTGGCTCCCCAAAAAGTGGGCGTGTCCCGCCGGGCCGGGGGGCGTGGCCTCTCACCATCAGATCCTCGACCGCCACCGCCTCGTCGAACTCGGGGTCCATCGCACCCCGGAAGAGAAGCCGGAAGTGACGCGCGGAGACCCCGCCTCCCCTTTAACGCCATTGGCCACCTGACCGCCCCTTTCTGGCGGGGCGCCCTCCCATTGGCCGGGCGGCGCGCGGGCGGCGCCCCGATTGGCTCCGCCCGCTGTCACTCATCCCTCCCCTCAGGAGGAGCCGCCATGATGGCCGCCGTGTACCGGGTGAGGGTCCGAACCGGCACCGCCCCCGGCGCCGGCACCGCCGACTCCATCGCCCTCACCCTCGTGGGGACCCGCGGGAGCAGCCCCAGGACACCCCTGGACCGATGGGGGCCCGACTTCGGCTGCGGCGCGGTGAGACACAGGGGAGGAGGGGGGAAGGGGGTCCTGGTGGGGAGGGAATGGAGGGTCGGGGGCGTTTTGAGGGGGGCTGGGGGGTCCTGGGGGGGTTTTGAGGGGTCTGAGGGCTCCTGAGGGGGCTTTGAGGGGGTCTGGGGGTCCTGGGGGCTTAGGGGGTCTGGGGTCTGGTCACCCTCGGGGGCTGGGGTCCTGAGAGGGGCTTTGAGGGGGTCTGGGGGTCCTGAGGGAGTTTTGAGGGGGTCTGGGGGTCTAGGGCAGCCTTTTGAGGGTCTGGGGGCTCCTGGAGGGGCTTTGAGGGGGCTGGGGGTTAAGGGGGTCTGGGGTCTGGTCACTTCGGGGACTGGGGGCCTGGAGAGGGTTTGAGGGGGTCTGGGAGTTCCAGGGGGAATTTAAGGGAGTTTGGGGGATCCTGGGGTGTTTGGTCACCCTTTGAGGGGTCCTTGGGGCCTGAGGGGCTGAGGGTCTGGGGGTCCTGGAGGTTTGAGGAGGATCTGGGAGTTCTAGGGGAATTTGAGGGAGATCTGGGAGGATCCTGGAGGTCTGGGGTCCTAGGGGTTTGAGGGAGATCTGGGAGGATCCTGGGAGGTCTGGGGGTCGGGGGTTTGAGGGGGTCTGGGAGGATCCTGGGAGGTCTGGGGTCCTGGGGGTTTGAGGGGATTTGGGGTTTCAGTGGGGGAATTTGAGGGGGTTTGGGGGTCCAGGGGGTCTGATCACTGCTCTGGGGGTTTTGGGGGTCGTGGGGTTTTGAGGGGGTTTTGAGGGGGTTTTGGGGTGGGAGTCTGGTCACCCTTTGTGGGGGTTGGGGGTTCCTGGGGATTTGAAGGGAATCTGGGGTCCTGGGGTCTGTCACCCTTTGGGGGTCTTGGGGTCCCTGGGGGATTTGAAGGGGTCTGGGGGTCCTGGGGGTCTGGTCACCCTTTGGGGGTTAGGGTCCCTGGGGATCTGAAGGGGTCTGGGGGTCCTGGGGTCCTTGGGGTCTGGTCACCCCTTTGGGGGCTTGGGGTCCCTGGGGGATCTGAAGGGGTCTGGGGTGTCCTGGGGGTCTGGTCACCCTTTGGGGGCTTGGGGGTCCCTGGGGGATCTAAAGGGGGTCTGGGGGTCCTCGGGGGCCTGGGTCTGATCACCCTTTGTGGGGGTTGGGGTCCTAGGGGATCTGAAGGGTCCTGGGGGGGGTCTGGTCACCCTTTTGGGGGGTCTTTGGGGTTCCTGGGGGGATTTGACACGGGGATGGTGACGTTGGGGACAGGGGTGGGGACACAGGGATGATGACAGCGGTGACACAGGGATGGTGACACAGGGGTGGGGACACAGGGGTTGTGACACAGGCATGGTGACAGCGGTGGCCTGGTGATGGTGACAGCAATGGTGACACAGCTGTGGTGACAGCGGTGGTGACACAGCCATGGTGACAGCGGTGACACGGTGATGGTGACAGCAGTGGTGACACAGCCATGGTGACAGCGGTGGTGGCGTGGTGATGGTGACAGTGGTGACACAGCCGTGGTGGCAGTGGTGGCACAGCCATGGTGACAGCGGTGACACGGTGATGGTGACAGCAACGGTGACACAGCCACGTTGACAGTGGTGGTGGCACAGCCATGGTGACAGCAGTGGCATGGTGATGGTGACAGCAACGGTGACACAGCCACGTTGACAGTGGTGGTGGCACAGCCATGGTGACAGTGGTGGTGGCACAGCGATGGTAACAGTAGTGACACGGTGATGGTGGCAGCGATGGCACAAACATGGTGACAGCGGTGACACAGTGATGGTGACAGCAATGGTGACACAGCAGTGGTGACAGCAGTGGCCTGGTGATGGTGACACAACCGTGGTGACAGCGGTGACACGGTGATGGTGACATCAGTGGTGACACAGCTGTGGTGACAGCGGTGGCCTGGTGATGGTGACAGCGGTGGTGACATGGTGATGGTGACAGCGGTGGTGACATGGTGATGGTGACAGCAATGGTGACACAGCCACGGTGACAGCAATGGTGACACGGTGATGGTGGCAGCAACGGTGACACAGCTGTGGTGACAGCGGTGGCCTGGTGATGGTGACAGCAGTGGTGACACAGTGATGGTGACAGCGGTGACATGGTGATGGTGACAGCAATGGTGACACAGCCATGGTGACAGTGATGACACGGTGATGGTGACAGCAGTGGTGGCACAACCATGGTGACAGCGGTGGCACAGCCGTGGTGACAGCAATGGTGACACAGGAATGGTAACAGCGCTGACACAGCCATGGTGGCAACAGTGGTGACACAGTGATGGTGGCAGCAATGGTGACATGGTGATGGTGACAACAATGGTGACACAACCATGGTGACAGCGGTGGCACAGCCGATGGTGACAGCAATGGTGACACGGTGATGGTGGCAGCAGTGACACAACTATGGTGACAGCAATGGTGACACAGCCACGGTGACAGCAGTGGTGACATGGTGATGGTGACAGCAGTGACACAGTGGTGGTGGCACAGCCATGGTGACAGCAATGGTGGCACAGCCGTGGTGGCAGCGGTGACACGGTGATGATGACAGCGGTGACACGGTGATGGTGACAGCAATGGTGACATAGCCATGGTGACAGCAGTGACACGGTGGTGGTGACAGCAATGGTGGCACAGTGGTGGCAACGGTGACATGCTGGTGGTGACAGCAATGGTGGCACAGCCCTGGTGACAGCAGTGACACGGTGGTGGTGGCACAGCCGTGGTGACAGCAATGGTGACACAGCCGTGGTGGCAGCAGTGGTGACACAGTGGTGGTGGCACAGCCGTGGTGGCAGCAGTGACACGGTGATGGTGGCACAGCCCTGGTGACAGCAATGGTGACACGCTGGTGGTGGCACAGCCCTGGTGGCAGCGGTGGCAGTGACGGTGGCAGCGCTGAAGGTGAGCTGGTGACAGTGACAGCGGTGACAGTGATGGTGACCAAACACCGGGTGTGGTGACAGTGACACAGTGCCCCTAATGTCCCCAATGTCCTGAATGTCCCCCCAATGTCCCCCTGATGTCCCCAATGTCCTCAATGTCCCCCCAGTGTCCCCAATGTCCCCAATGTCCTCAATGTCCTCAATGTCCCCAATGTCCTCAATGTCCCCAATGTCCCCAATGTCCCCTGATGTCCCCAGTGTCCTCAGTGTCCCCCCAGTGTCCCCAATGTCCCCCTGATGTCCTCAATGTCCCCTACAGGTGACAGATTACCTGGTGGAGCGTCCCCACCCCTGGGGACAGTGACAGTGTCCCCAATGTGTCCCCACTGTCCCCTGCAGGTGACAGATTACCTGGTGCAGTGTCCCCACCCCTGGGGACAGTGACAGTGTCCCCAATGTCCCCAATGTCCCCAATGTCCCCACTGTCCCCTGCAGGTGACAGATTACCTGGTGGAGTGTCCCCACCCCTGGGGACAGTGACAGTGTCCCCAATGTCCCCCTGATGTCCCCTGCAGGTGACAGATTACCTGGTGGAGTGTCCCTATCCCTTGGGGACAGTGACAGTGTCCCCAATGTCTCCCTGTCCCCAGGTGACAGATTACCTGGTGGAGTGTCCCCACCCCTGGGGACAGTGACAGTGTCCCCAATGTGTCCCCAATGTGTTTCTCCTGTCCCCTGCAGGTGACAGATTACCTGGTGGAGTGTCCCCACGCCCTGGGGACAGTGACAGTGTCCCCAATGTCCCCAATGTGTCCAATGTGTCCCCAATGTGTCCCTGATGTCCCCACTGTCCCCTGCAGGTGACAGATTACCTGGTGCAGTGTCCCCACCCCTGGGGACAGTGACAGTGTCCCCAATGTCCCCAATGTCCCCAATGTGTCCCCACTGTCCCCTGCAGGTGACAGATTACCTGGTGCAGTGTCCCCACCCCCTGGGGACCCTGCTCCTGGCCCGGGTGCACAAAGGGCCCCGTGGGGACAGTGACAGTGTCCCCAATGTCCCCAATGTGTCTCTCCTGTCCCCTGCAGGTGACAGATTACCTGGTGCAGTGTCCCCACCCCCTGGGGACAGTGACAGTGTCCCCAATGTGTCTCTCCTGTCCCCTGCAGGTGACAGATTACCTGGTGGAGTGTCCCCACCCCCTGGGGACAGTGACAGTGTGACAGTGTCCCCAATGTCCCCAATGTGTCCCCAAGATGTCCCCACTGTCCCCTGCAGGTGACAGATTACCTGGTGGAGTGTCCCCACCCCCTGGGGACAGTGACAGTGTCCCCAATGTCCCCAATGTGTCCCCTGCAGGTGACAGATTACCTGGTGGAGTGTCCCCACCCCTGGGGACAGTGACAGTGTCCCCACTGTCCCCTGCAGGTGACAGATTACCTGGTGGAGTGTCCCCAACCCCTGGGGACAGTGACAGTGTCCCCAATGTGTCCCCACTGTCCCCTGCAGGTGACAGATTACCTGGTGGAGTGTCCCCACCCCTGGGGACAGTGACAGTGTGACAGTGTCCCCAATGTCCCCAATGTGTCTCTCCTGTCCCCTGCAGGTGACAGATTACCTGGTGCAGTGTCCCCACCCCCTGGGGACCCTGCTCCTGGCCCAGGTGCACAAAGGGCCCCGCCGGGGGGTCCCCGACAGCTCCTGGTTCCTGGAGACCCTCAGCGTGTGGGGCGGGGGCAGAGACCCCCCCGGGGAGCCCCCCCGGGACCCCCTGAGCGAGGAGGAGGAGGAGGAGGAGGACGGAGGGGACAGCGAGGAGGACGGAGGGGACAGCGAAGGGGACAGCGAGGAGGACGGAGGGGACAGCGAAGGGGACAGCGAGGAGGAGGAGGAGGAGGAGGAGGAGGAGGGGACAGAGGACGAGGACACCGAGGGTGACACCGAGGGGGAGGGGGAGGAGGAGGAGCCCCCTGAGCAGCAGGAGGAGGAAGACGAAGAGGAAGAAGAAGAGGAGGAGGAGGAAGAAGAAGAGCCGGGAGATGCTGCAGGTGAGGGCGTTGGGGACACCGCGGGTGACGTCATCGCCCCCGCGGGTGACGTCATCGTCTCTGTGGGTGACGTCATCGCCTCGGCGGGTGACGTCATCGCCCCCGTGGGTGACACCAGTGAGGCTGGGTGTGCTGTCACCTCCCCCCATGCCCTCCCAGGTGACCCCAGTGACCCCCCGGTGACCCCCTTTGTGCTGTCCCCCCCCAATGAACCCCTTTGTGTTGTCCCCCCCAGGTGATCCCAATGACCCCAGGTGACCCCCTTTGTGTTGTCCCCCCTCAGGTGACCCCCACGTGACCCCAATGACCCCAGGTGACCCCTTTGTGCTGTCCCCCCAGGTGACCCCAGTGACCCCCAATGACCCCTTTGTGCTGTCCCCCAGGTGACCCCCTTTGTGCTGTCCCCTCAGGTGACCCCAGTGACTCCCAGGTGACCCCCTTTGTGCTGTCCCCCCAGGTGACCCCAATCACCCCCAGGTGACCCCAATGACTCCCAGGTGACCCCTTTGTGCTGTCCCCCAGGTGACCCCAATGACCCCAGGTGACCCCAGTGACCCCCAGGTGACCCCTTGTGCTGTCCCCCAGGTGACCCCAATGACTCCAAGTGACCCCAATGACCCCAATGACCCCAGGTGACCCCAGTGACCCTTTGTGCTGTCCCCCTCAGGTGACCCCTTTGGGCTGTCCCCCCAGTGACCCCCTTTGTGCTGTCCCCCCTCAGGTGACCCCTTTGGGCTGCCCTCCCCAATGACCCCCCAGGTGACCCCTAATGACCCCCAGGTGACCCCAGTGACCCCTGAGTGAACCCCTCTGTGCTGTCCCCCCAGGTGACCCCAATGACCCCCAGTGACCCCCTTGTGCTGTCCCTCCCCAGGTGACCCCAATGACCCCTTTGTACTGTCCCCCCCAGGTGACCCCAATGACCCCCAAGTGACCCCCTCTGTGCTGTCCCCCCCAATGACCCCCTTTGTGCTGTCCCCCCCCAGGTGACCCCAATGACCCCCAGGTGACCCCAATGATCTACTCTGTGTTGTCCCCCCCAGGTGACCCCGCGGTGTCCCCGCCCGGCCCCTTCCACTTCCCGTGTTACCGCTGGCTGGAGGGCTACGGCACCTGGGACCTGCCCGAGGGCACAGGTGACCCTGGGGACACCCTGGGGACACCCTGGGGACACCCCTGGGGTGGGGGGGTCATTGTCACCCCCCCCCACTGACGGTGTCACCCCCCCAGCCACCACCCCCGCCATGGAGCGGCACCCGCGGCTGCGGCGCCTGCGCCGGCGTCACCTGCGGGCTCAGCAGAGGAGGTACAGGTGAGTGACACTGTCATTGTCACCTTCTGGGGGTCATTGTCACCATTATTGTCACCGTTATTGTCACCTATGGGGTCATTGTCACTGTCATTGTCACCTGTGGGGGTCATTGTCACTGTCACCTGCGCCGGCGTCACCTGCGGGCTCAGCGCAGGAGGTACAGGTGAGTGGCACTGTCATTGTCATTGTCACCTTTTGGGGCATGTCACTATTGTCACTGCATGCACTATGGGGGTCATTGTCACTGTTATTGTCACTGTCATTGTCATTGTCACTGTCCCCTGCGCCGGCGTCACCTGCGGGCTCAGCGCAGGAGGTACAGGTGAGTGGTGTTGGCATTGTCATTGTCACCTTCTGGGGGGTCATTGTCACCTCCTGGGGGGCTCATTGTCACCTTGGGGGTCATTGTCACCTTCTGGGGGGGGTCACTGTCACCTATGGGGGTCATTGTCACTGTCACCTGCGCCGGCGTCACCTGCGGGCTCAGCAGAGGAGGTACAGGTGAGTGGTACTGTCATTGTCATTGTCACCTATTGGGGGGTCATTGTCACCTGTGGGGGGTCATTGTCACTGTCATCTGTGCCGGCGTCACCTGCAGGCTCAGCAGCAGGAGGTACAGGTGAGTGGTGTTGGCATTGTCATTGTCACCTTGTGGGGGTCATTGTCACCTTCTGGGGGGTCACTGTCACCTATGGGGGGTCATTGTCACTGTCACCTGCGCCGGCGTCACCTGCGGGCTCAGCGCAGGAGGTACAGGTGAGTGACACTGTCATTGTCACTGTCACCTTCTGGGGGGTCATTGTCACTGTCATTGTCACCTATGGGGGTCATTGTCACTGTCCCCTGCGTCACCTGCGCGGTCAGCAGAGGAGCTACAGGTGAGTGGCACTGTCATTGTCACTGTCACCTTCTGGGGTCATTGTCACTGTCATTGTCATTGTCACCTTTTGGGGGGTCATTGTCACTGTCCCCTGCGCCGGTGTCACCTGCAGGCTCAGCAGAGGAGCTACAGGTGAGTGGTACTGTCATTGTCACTGTCACCTTCTGGGGGGGTCATTGTCACCTTCTGGGGGGTCATTGTCACTGTCATTGTCACCTGTGGGGGGTCATTGTCACCGTTATTGTCACCTATGGGGGTCATTGTCATTGTCACCTGCGCCGGCGTCACCTGCGGGCTCAGCAGAGGAGGTACAGGTGAGTGACACTGTCATTGGCATTGTCACCTTGTGGGGGTCATTGTCACCGTTATTGTCACCTATGGGGGTCATTGTCACTGTCACCTGCGCCGCTCACCTGCGGGCTCAGCAGAGGAGGTACAGGTGAGTGACACTGTCATTGTCATTGTCACCTTGTGGGGGGTCATTGTCACCTTCTGGGGGGTCATTGTCACTGTCATTGTCACCTGTGGGGGGGTCATTGTCATTGTCACCGTTATTGTCACCTGTGGGGGTCATTGTCACTGTCCCCTGCGCCGGCGTCACCTGCGGGCTCAGCAGAGGAGGTACAGGTGAGTGGCACTGTCATTGTCACCGTTATTGTCACCTATGGGGGTCATGTGGGGGTCATTGTCACTGTCACTGTCACCTATGGGGGTCATTGTCATTGTCACCTGCGCCGGCGTCACCTGCGGGCTCAGCGCAGGAGGTACAGGTGAGTGACACTGGCATTGTCATTGTCATCTTGTGGGGGGTCATTGTCACTGTCATTGTCACCGTTATTGTCACCTATGGGGGTCGTTGTCATTGTCACCTGCGCCGGCGTCACCTGCGGGCTCAGCGCAGGAGGTACAGGTGAGTGACACTGGCATTGTCATTGTCACCATCATTGTCACCTGTAGGGGATCATTGTCACTGTTATTGTCACCTATGGGGGTCATTGTCACCTGTGGGGGTCATTGTCACTGTCACCTGCGCCGGCGTCACCTGCGGGCTCAGCGCAGGAGGTACAGGTGAGTGGCACTGTCATTGTCACCTTCCAGGGGGTTTATTGACCCCTGGGGGGTTTATTGACCCCTGAGGGGGTTTATTGATCCCTGGGGTGTTGTTGACCTGGGGGTTTATTGACACCCCTGGAGTGTTGTTTGTTCCCCAGACTGGCCCCCTTTGCCCCGGGCTGCCGTGGGCGCTGCCCGTGAGGACCCCCTGGGAGAGGTTTATTGATCTCTGGGGGTTATTGACCCTGGAGGGGTTTATTGACCCTGGTGGGGGTTTATTGATCCCTGGGGGGGTTTATTGACCCCCTGGATGTTGTTTTGCCCCCCAGACTGGCCCCTGTGCGTGGGCGCTGCCTGTGGACCCCTGGGGGCTTATTGACCCTGGCATGGTTTATTGATCCCTGCGGACTAGCACCCGGATGTTGTACCCCGGGGTGCAGTGGCATCTGTCGTGAGTTGATCGACCCCTGGGGTGGTTTATTGATCCCTGAGGTGGTTTATTGACCCTGGGGGGTTTATTGATCCCTGGGGTGCTTATTGACCCCCTGATGTTGTTTTGCCCTCAGACTGGCTCCCTTTGCCCTGGGGCTGCCGTGGGCACTGCCCGTGGGGACCCCCCTGAGGGGGGTTTATTGATCTCTGGGGTGGTTTATTGACCCCTGGGTGTGGTTTATTGACCCTGGTGGATGTTTATTGACCCCTGGGATGGTTTATTGACCCCTGGCTAAGTTGTTTTGCCCCCAGACTGGCCCTTGCCCCGGCTGCCGTGGCGCGCCCTTGGGGACCCCTGACCCGACTCCGAGTTATTCGTCCCCAAAGCCGCGGCCTTTACCTGCGGGCAGCGCCGCGGTGAGTGACCCTGACCCCTGACCCCTCTGGGGACTTCATGTCACCTCAGTGACCCCCAGCCCTGTCATCCTGTCCCCACCTGTGTCCCCCGTCCCCCTCCATCCCCGTGTCCCCACTCCCATCCCCTGTCCCCCACCCGTGTCAAACCCTGTCCCCACTTGTGTCTCCTGTCTCCCACTTGTGTCCATCCCCGTGTCCCCATCCCTGTGTCCCCCCACTGTCCCCCCAGTCCCCCCCATTCCATCCTCGTGTCCCCATCCCCGTGAACCTCTCGGCAACTCCCCACTCCCATCCCCGTGTCTCCCCATTCCATCCCCTCGTGTCCCCCCATCCGTGTCCCCCTCGTGTCCCCCCATCCCCGTGTCCCCATCCCTCGTGTCCCCTCGTGTCCCCCCGTGTCCCCACACTCCATCCCTGTGTCCCCATTCTGTCCCCACTGTACCCCCCCATGTCCCCCCACTCCATCCTCTCGTGTCCCCATCCCCTGTCCCACCCGTGTCCCCCCACCCGTGTCACCTGTCCCCACTTGTGTCCCCCTGCCCTCCTCTCCATCCCCGTGTCCCCATCCGTGTCCCCCACTCCATCCCCGTGTCTCCATCCCCTGGGACCCCCTGGGACCCCCAGGGACCCCTGACTCCTGGGACCCCTCAGTGTCACCTCAGTGACCACCGAGTGACCCTTTAGTGACCCTCTCAGTGACACCTGAACCCTGAGTGACCCCTGACTCCCAGTGTTCCCCCAATGTGTCCCCAACTGTCCCCCAATGTCCCCAATGTCCCCCCAATGTCCCCTCAACGCCCTCAATCCCCTCCCTGTCCCCCCCAATGTCCCCCAATGTCCTCCTAATGTCCTCCAATCCCCCAATGTCCCCAATGTCCCCGTATGCACCCCCAATCCTCGCCTCTCTGTCCCCAATGTCTCCCCCAATCTCTCCCTGTCCCCTCAATGTCCTCAATGTCCCCACAAGTCTTCCCCAATGTTCCTCACAGCTGTCCCCAATGTCCCCAATCCTCGCTCCTTCTCCAGTAGTACCCCAATGTCCCCGTTTGTCCCCAGGAATTTGGAGTCCAAGCTCAGGGGGTTCCTGTCCCGACCCTGCTCGTGGCCCAGCCTGGAGTCCCTGACGGGCGTGTTCCGCTGCTTCCACACCCCTGTCACCGGTGGGACATCACTGGGGACACTGGGGACACTGGGGACATACTGGGGACACTGGGGACACTGGGGACACTGTTCCGCTGCTTCCACACCCCTGTCACTGGTGGGGACACTGGGGACACTGGGGACACTGGGGGGACACTGGGGGACACTGGGGACACTGGGGACACTGTTCCGCTGCTTCCACACCCCTGTCACCGGTGGGGACATCCCTGGGGACACTGGGGACACTGGGGGGACACTGGGGACACTGGGGACACTGGGGACACTGGGGACACTGGGGACATTGGGGACACTGGGGACACTGGGGGGACACTGGGGACACTGGGGACACTGTTCCGCTGCTTCCACACCCCTGTCACTGGTGGGGACACTGGGGACACTGGGGTCACTGGGGGGACATTGGGGACACTGGGGGGACATTGGGGACACTGGGGGGACACTGGGGTCACTGGGGGGACATTGGGGTCACTGTTCCGCTGCTTCCACACCCCTGTCACCGGTGGGGACATCCCTGGGGACACTGGGGACACTGGGGGGACACTGGGGACACTGGGGACACTGGGGGGACACTGGGGACATCCCTGGGGACACTGGGGACATCCCTGGGGGGACACTGGGGACACTGGGGGACACTGGGGGGACACTGGGGACACTGTTCCGCTGCTTCCACACCCCTGTCACTGGTGGGGACATCCCTGGGGACACTGGGGACACTGGGGACACTGGGGGGACATTGGGGGGACACTGGGGACATTGGGGGGACATTGGGGGGACATTGGGGACACTGGGGGGACACTGGGGACACTGGGGGGACACTGGGGACACTGTTCTGCTGCTTCCACACCCCTGTCACCGGTGGGGACATCCCTGGGGACACTGGGGGGACATTGGGGACACTGGGGGACACTGGGGGGACACTGGGGACATTGGGGGAATTGGGGGGACATTGGGCAGGTTGGGGACATTGGGGACATTGGGGGGACATTGAGGGGGGACATTGGGGGGCACCGGGGGGGTCCCGGGAGACACATGGGGGTGTCCCAGGACCTTTGGGAGTGTCCCAGGACCTTTTGGGGTGTCCCAGGACCTTTGGGGTGTTCCAGGACCTTGGGGGTGCCCCTGGACCTTCTGAGGTCTCCCAGGAGCTCTGGGGTGCCCCAAGACCTTGGGAGGTTTCTCCAGGCCGTGTTTTGAGGTCTCTCCCTGGGGTGACCCCCCTGTTTCCCCCCCAGAGTACGTGGTGCGGCACTGGCAGGAGGACGCGTTTTTGGGGTGTTTTTGGGGGGTCTGGGGGGGTCTCTGTGGGTGTGACCCTCTGTTTCCCCAGAGTACGTGGAGCGGCACTGGCAGGAGGACGCGTTTTTGGGGTGTTTTTGGGGTGTTTTTGGGGGGTCTGGGGGGGTCTCTCCCTGGCTGTAACCCCCCTATTTTGCCCCCCAGAGTACGTGGTGCGGCACTGGCAGGAGGACGCGTTTTGGGGTGTTTTTGGGGGTCTGGGGGTCTCTGTGGGTGTGACCCCCTGTTTCCCCCCAGAGTACGTGGTGCGGCACTGGCAGGAGGACGCTGCTTTGGGGTGTTTTTGGGGGTCTGGGGGTCTCTCATGGCTGACCCTATTTTCCCCAGAGTACGTGGTGCGGCACTGGCAGGAGGACGCTGTTTTGGGGGTCTGGGGGGTTCTCTGTGGGTGTGACCCCCCTATTTTCCCCCCCAGAGTACGTGGTGCAGCACTGGCAGGAGGACGCGTTTTTGGGGTGTTTTTGGGGGGTCTGGGGGGGTCTCTGTGGGTGTGACCCCCCTATTTTCCCCCCCAGAGTACGTGGTGCGGCACTGGCAGGAGGACGCGTTTTTGGGGGTCTGGGGGGTCTCTCAGTGGGTGTGACCCCCCTATTTTCCCCCCAGAGTACGTGGTGCAGCACTGGCAGGAGGATGCGTTTTTGGGGTGTTTTTGGGGGGTCTGGGGGGGTCTCTGTGGGTGTGACCCCCTATTTTCCCCCAGAGTACGTGGTGCGGCACTGGCAGGAGGACGCGCTTGGGGTGTTTTTGGGGGTCTGGGGGTCTCTGTGGCTGTGACCCCTATTTTGCCCCCCAGAGTACGTGGTGCGGCACTGGCAGGAGGACGCGTTTTTGGGGTGTTTTTGGGGGGTCTGGGGGGGTCTCTCATGGGGTGACCCCCCTATTTTCCCCCCCAGAGTACGTGGTGCGGCACTGGCAGGAGGACGCGTTTTTGGGGTGTTTTTGGGGGGTCTGGGGGTCTCTCATGGTGTGACCCCCCTGTTTCCCCCCCAGAGTACGTGGTGCGGCACTGGCAGGAGGACGCGTTTTTGGGGGGTCTGGGGGGGTCTGGGGGGGTCTCTATGGGGTGACCCCCCTATTTTCCCCCCAGAGTACGTGGTGCGGCACTGGCAGGAGGACGCGTTTTTGGGGTGTTTTTGGGGGTCTGGGGGTCTCTCATGGGGTGACCCCCTGTTTCCCCCCAGAGTACGTGGTGCGGCACTGGCAGGAGGACGCGTTTTTGGGGTGTTTTTGGGGTGTCTGGGGGGGTCTCTCATGGCTGTAACCCCCCTATTTTCCCCCCCAGAGTACGTGGTGCGGCACTGGCAGGAGGACGCGTTTTTCGGGGAGCAGTTCCTGAGCGGGGTGAACCCCGTCCTGCTGCGCCGCTGCCCCCGCCTGCCCCCCAACTTCCCCGTCACCCCCCGCATGGTGGAGCCCGCCCTCGGCCCCCACACCTCCCTCCAGGCCGAGATGGAGGTAGGGGCACCCCAAAAACACTTCAGGGAACCCCCAAAACCTGCAGGGAACCCCAAAAACCCTTCAGGGAACCCCAAAAATCCTTTAGGGAATCCCAAAACCTGCAGGGAACCCCCAGAACCTTCAGAACACCCCAAAAACTTTCAGAGCACCCCAAAAACCCTTTAGGGAACCCCAAAAATCCTTCAGGGAACCCAAAAACCCTTCAGAGCACCCCAAAAACCCTTTAGGGAACCCCAAAAACCCTTCAGGGAACCCCCAGGACCTTCAGGGACCCCAAAAATCCTTTAGGGAACCACAAAACCTGCAGGGAACCCCCAGAACCTTCAGGGATCCCAAAAACCCTTTAGGGAACCCCCAGAACCTGCAGGGAACCCAAAAACTCTCTAGGGAATCCCAAAACCCTCAGGGAACCCCCAGAACCCTCAGGGACCCCAAAACCCTTTAGGGAACCCCCAAAACCTGCAGGACCCCCAAATTGGAGGGCAGAAGAGGGGATCCCAAGAATTTGGGGTGTCCCCTAGGCTTTGGGGATGTCCCAATGATTCTGCAGTGACCCCATGCCCCCAGGCCGGGAGGTGTCCTGGATTCAAGGGCTGGGGCTCAGATTTGGGATCTGGGTTTGGGGGTGTCCCCGGGGGTTTGGGGGTGTCCCCTGGGGTTTGGGGGTGTCCCCGGGGGTTTGGGGGTGTCCCAATGATTTTGGGGTGCCCCAGTGACCCCCCCGTGCCCCCCAGGCCGGGAACGTGTCCCTGGTGGATTATGGTGTGCTGGGGTTTGGGGGTCTCAGATTTGGGATCCTGGGTTTTGGGGGTGTTCTTTGGGGTTTGGGGGTGTCCCTTGGGGTTTGGGGGTGTCCCAATGATTTGGGGTGCCCCAGTGACTCCCTGTGCCCCCTAGGCCGGGAGGCGTGTACCTGGTGGATTTTGGGGTGCTGGGCTTTGGGGGGCTCAGATTTGGGATCTTGGGGTTTGGGGGTGTCCCTCGGGTTTGGGGGCTCCGGGTTTGGGGGTGTCCCAATGATTTTGGGGTGCCCCAGTGACCCCCCTGTGACCCCCCCGTGCCCCCCCAGGCCGGGAACGTGTACCTGGTCGATTATGGGGTGCTGGGGTTTGGGGGGCTCAGATTTGGGATCCCAGGGTTTGGGGTGTCCCCTGGGGTTTTAGGGTGTCCCAGTGATTTTAGGGTGCCCCAGTGACCTCGCATCCCCAGGCCGGGAACATGTACCTGGTGGATTATGGGGTGCTGGACGGGGTCCCAGGGTTTGGGGGCTCAGATTTGGGATCTGGGGGTTTGGGGGTGTCCCTAGGGTTTGGGGACTCCCTGGGGTTTGGGGTGTCCCAATGATTTTGGGTACCCCAGTGACCCCAGTGCCCCCGTGCCCCCCCAGGCCGGGAACGTGTACCTGGTGGATTATGGGGTGCTGGGGTGTCCCAGGGTTTGGGGTGCTCTTGGGGTTTGGGGGCTCAGATTTGGGATCTTGGGATTTGGGGGTGTTCTCTGGGGTTTGGGGTGTCCCAATGATTTTAGGGTGCCCCAGATGGCCCCCGTATGCCCCCAGGCCGGGAACGTGTACCTGGTGGATTATGGGGTGCTGGACGGGGTCCCCACCGCCCTCATCGACGGCCGCCCCACCTTCGTGGCCGCCCCCCTTTGCCTCCTGCACCAGAGGGAGGACGGCGAGATGAGACCCCTGGCCATCCAGGTGGGACCCCAAAACAGAGGAGGGACCCCAAAAAACAAGGGGAGGGGAGCCTGGAACTGGGGGGGGTCCCAAAAAATAAGGGGGGACCCCAAAAACCAAGGGGGAGGGGCCAGAAACCAAAGGGAGACCCAAAAAATGAAGGAGAGTTGAGACCCTCTGGCCATCCAGGTGGGACCCCAAAACACAGGGGGGGACCCCAAAAACCAAGGGGGGGACCCCAAAAACCAAGGGGGATCAAAAAAATAAGGGGGGACCCGAAAAATCCAGAGGGAGTGGCCAGAAACCAAAGGGAGACCCAAAAAATGAAGGAGAGATGAGACCCCCTGGCCATCCAGGTGGGACCCCAAAACCGAGGGGGGGACCCCAAAAACTTGGGGGGAGCCTGGAACTGGGGGGGGGCCAAAAACCAAGGGGGGAACCCCAAAAACCAAGGGGGAGGGACCAAAAAACATGGGGGGACCCCAAAAAACAAGGGGTTACCCCAGGAGTGTTCTGGAGTCCCCCAGGAGGGTCCTGGGGTGCCCCCCTGAGGGTTTTGGGGTTCCCCCAAACCCAGGGACACCCCAGTTTTGGGGTCCCCCATTTTCTGGGCAGGAGGGACCCATTTAGGGGGCACTGAAACCTTTTGGAGGGAGGAGGTTGTGAGGTCCGGGGTGCCCCCAGGATCATTTTGGTGCCCCCAGGAGTGTCCTGGGGTGTGCCCCCCTAGGAGGGTTTTGGGGTTCCCCCAAGTCCAGGGACAGCCCAATTTTGGGGTCCCCCATTTTCTGGGCTTGGGGAACCCCAAAATCTCAGGGGAACCCCATTTAGGGGGGACTGAGTTGTTTGGGGGTGTTTGGTGTCCCTGGGTTATGAGATCTGAGGTCCCTCCAGGAGCGTTTTGGGGTCCCCAGACCCCCATTTTCGGGTGTCCCCAAGCCCAGGGACACCCCAGTTTTGGGGCCCCCTATTTTCTAGAGTAGGGGGGACCCCAAAACCTCTGGAGGGACCCCCTGAAACCTTTTGGGGGAGGGGGGTTATGAGGTCTGGGGTGCCCTCAGGACCGTTTTGGTGCCCCCAGGAGCATCCTGGGGTGCCCTCCCTGAGGGTTTTGGGGTTCCCCCAAGTCCAGGGACACCCCAATTTTGGGGTCCCCCATTTTCTGGGCTTGGGGAACCCCAAAATCTCTGGGGGGACCCCCTGAAACATTTTGGGGGGAGGGGGTTGTGAGGTCCGGAATGCCCCCAGGACCATTTTGGTGCCCCCAGGAGCATCCTGGGGTGCCCTCCCTGAGGGTTTGGGGTTCCCCCCAAGCCCAGGGACACCCCAATTTTGGGGTCCCCCATTTTCTGGGCAGGAGGGACCCCAAAATCTCAGGGGGGCCCCCCATTTAGGGGGGACTGATTTTTGGGGGGTGTTTGGTGTCCCTGGGTTATGAGGTCTGGGGTCCCTCCAGGAGCATTTTGGGGTCCCCAGACCCCCATTTTAGGGTTCCCCCAAGCCCAGGGACACCCCAATTTTGGGGTCCCCCATTTTCTGGGCAGGAGGGACCCATTTAGGGGGCACTGAAGCCTTTTGTGGGGAGGGGGTTGTGAGGTCCGGGGTGCCCCCAGGATCATTTTGGTGCCCCCAGGACCATTTTGGTGCCCCCAGGAGGGTCCTGGGGTGCCCCCCTGAGTGTTTTGGGGTCCCCCCCACAGCTGTCCCAGCAGCCTGGCCCCGAGTCCCCCATTTTCCTGCCCGGGGACCCCCCCTGGGTGTGGGCCCTGGCCAAGGCCTGGGTGAGGAGCGCCGAGTTCCAGGTGCACGAGGGGCTCACCCACCTCCTGCGGGGGCACCTGCTGGGAGAGGTGTTCGCCCTGGCCACCCTCAGGCAGCTGCCCCCACAGCACCCCCTTTTCAAGGTGAGGAACAGCCCCCACCCCAAAAAAAACACCCCAAAAAAACTTCATCCTGAAAAACCCCCTCCTGAAAAAATCCACCCCGAAAAAATCCACCCCAAAA